CGCTACATGTCAGGGCACAGACAAGGTCAAGAAGGAGTCGAAATTTGGATCAATCTGGATCAACCCATTGCCACTACGGAAGAAGGCAAACCGTGCTATCTTGCTGCACACCACTGCCTAGTGACATGGAAGGATCCGCGACGCCTTCTACTGCGGGTTGTCTCACCCTTTCTGGATGGATGGTTCTTTGCCGCGCATGCCCCACACAGCGGCAAGTCCAGAGATGAAAGAGAAGCTTGGTGGGCTGAGACGACTGAAATACTGCAGGATCATGGAGCACACAGCAACTGTTTTTGGCTCATTGATGCCAATGCGGAGCCAGGACCTGCAGATGGCATTACTGTGTTTTGCAGGGGCATGAGAACCTCCACCAACACAATCCTCTTCAAGGACAGCCTGCACAAACTCACTATGTGTCTGCCGGCAACTTCACACATCCATCATGGAGATCGAGACACCTGGACGCGACCAGATGGAGAGGCGACCTTCTGCATTGACCACATTGTCGTGCCACAAGACTGGAGGGAATTCTGCACTCGATCAGAAGTCCTCTATGACTTTGACCTGGCTACCACCAGATGTGACCATCAAGCAGTCGGTTTGGAGCTCAGCTGGTGGCAAACCTGTGAGACTACCTCCCAGGGGAAGCGTATGCCGAAAGTTGCCTGGCATGATGATGCCACCAGGCAAACTATCAAGAATGCCATGAACAAAGTCCAGGTCCCAGACTGGAAAACAGATGTTGAGACGCAAGAACACCATTTCAGTTCTCAGATCGCTGCCATCTTGGGCCGCCAGCAAAGGGCCGCTGACCAACCCAAGAAGTGTTACATTGATGAGGAGATCTGGGAAGCCAGGAGCCTGATGATTCATTCACAAAAAAGACTGAAAAAGGTCAGGCAAAGACTTGGCCGTGAAGCTCTATGGCAAGTTTTCAATGCATGGAAAACGAACAGTCCCTCACCACAACACATGGAACACTTTCAGTATGGCACGATGTTGCGGTGTGATGCTCTTTTACTCCTCTCCAAGCTTCGTGTACAACGTCGACAAGTTCGTCACAAGCTGAAGAAGGCCAAAGCCAAACAATTGGAGAAATGCTTGGAACAAGTGAATGAGCACACAGCGGCATCCAGCATACTCCACATCTTACGTAGTTTCATTGGCCCGACGAACCCCAAAAAGCAGAAGAAGAGAACACTGCCAATGTTGGAAAAGGAAGACGGCACGATTTGTGCCACCCCTGAAGAGGCGATGCAGGTATGGATCAAATTTTTCGCTGACATGGAAGGAGGAAAGCGCCAGACCGAAGAAGAGCTGCACACGGACTGGCTCAAGGAACTGACAACAAACCAGGTTGAGCCCTTCAAGACCACGGCCATCATGCTTCCGTCGCTGGCAGACCTTGAACTGGCATATCGCAGAGTGGCCATTGGAAAGGCTACTGGACCTGACCAAGTTCCTGGTGAGCTATGTCATCACGCGCCATCGGCATGTGCAAGGGCGACATACTCCTCCTTATGGAAGCTGCTCCTCTTTGGCCATGAAGCTCTCCAGTACAAAGGAGGATTGCTTGTCCATGCCTATAAAGGCAAAGGACCGACAAACAAGTGCAGCTCCTACAGGTCATTATTGATTTCAAGCCACATCGCCAAGTCGCTGCATCGTACAATGCGTAGCTCGCAGGCAACTGTCTTTGAAAGCTTTCTACAAGCGCAGCAACTGGGAGGACGTCGAGCGATGCCAGTCACCTACGGCGTTCACCTGGCCAGAGCTTTTCAGCGCCAAGCACGTCATCAAGGACACTCATGTGCACTTATTATGCTGGATCTCAAGGAAGCTTTCTACAGAATCTTCAGACCACTCTGCATGGATGGGCCTGTCACAGATCAGGCACTTGCCCACTTGATGCAGCGCTTACAGATGCCAGCAGATGCCATGGTTGAACTTCGCCGTCTTCTATGTGATCCTTGCGCTCTCGAACAAGCCGGATTGACCTCACAACAGTGCCGAAGCATACGCGCCGTGCATTCTCAGACTTTCTTCTGGATGCACCACCAACGAGATGTAGTACAGACTACTCAAGGCTCGCGGCCTGGAGATCCTTTTGCGGACATCATCTTCAGCTATGTTTGGGCTGTTGTCCTGAAGAAGCTACAAGCCTTCATGCAACAACAGGGGATCATCAGCGAGTTTGTGCGGAGACCAACGCTCATGCTCTTTGAGGACGAACCCTCAGTTGACCATGAACTGGATCAATTCATCGGTCCCACGTGGATGGATGACTTATGTGTTTGCGTGGAAGGGAGCAATCCAGCACAGACCATTCAGCGTACTACACTGACCACAGGTAGACTCCTTGAGCTCTGCATTGAACACTGTATGACGCCCAATCTTCAGCCGAACAAGACCGAGATCCTCTTCTCATTGCGGGGGGCTGCCTCACGCCGATACAAGAAGGAAATCTACGGCACGCACGCGACAGGAAGCCTACCAATTGTTTGCGAGTATGGCACTTTTCAGGTTCCTGTCACATCAAGATACTGTCACCTTGGAGGACTTCTGCACCATATCACAGATCAACAAGCTGAGATCAAGCGGCGCGTGGCGATTGCCAATGCAGCCATGACTCTTCACAGCAAAATGATCTTCAGAAATTGGGCCCTTCCGCTGAAGAAGAGAGTGCAATTGTTCGAGGCCTTGATCTTGAGCAAATTGCTCTACGGTGCAGACACATGGGTCGTGACTGATGATAAGACTGAGAAATACTTTCATGCAGCCACCATCCGCCTTTACAGAAGGCTTCTGCCTGTCGCTCATGATCAACACCTACAGGACATCGAGGTGCTCTCGCTGGTGAAACTACCAAGCCCAGTTGAACTCATCCGAAGAGCACGTCTGAGGTATGTCGCAACGCTACTTCACAGTGGACACAGACAAGAATGGGGCCTCCTTGAACAGGACAGACAATGGACGCTTTTGGTTGAAGATGACATGCAATGGTTATGGAAACAACTCCGACACTGCTCCAATCTTAGTGAGCCCAAAGAGCACTGGGCGCAATGGAAGGAGTTGATTTTGAATCATCGTTCCTACTGGAGAAAGCTTGTCCGACGAGCGGCTGAGCATGCTATCCTCCAGCGGAACAATGAGTGGCATCTTTTGCATTTTCACCGCATTGCCGTTCAAGGATTCAGAAAGGTCTTCAACTATGAACCCCCTGAGCTTGAACCCTCCACAAGGCCTCAAACGACGTTTGGCTGCCTTCTCTGCCGCAAACGCTGCCGCAGCCATGCTGGAGAGGCGGCACGCATGTTCAAGGTTCACAACCATCAAGCGAGCAGACGTCGCCTTGTTGATACTACGGGGTGTCCTGCATGCCTCAAGGAGTACCATTCCATGGAGAAGGTCACGGCGCATCTCTACTATTCGACACGCTGTCGAAGAATCCTCCAGAGCAGAAACTATGCTTGTGCTCCTGAGCCCGGAGCTGGCTCGCTGAGGGACAGAGAGCTGACGCAGCGTCATGACAGGCTCCTCCCACCTCTTCGACAAGAGGGACCATTGCCGTTAGAGCCCCGACTCAGAGATGATCCGGGGATCGACAATGATTTACATGTTGCGATCATGGAGATCTTTGTGGAGGCCTACACGGTGCAGAATGCCATGACCGAGATTCAGCGCATTGCAGAGGAGCGGCCTATTTCATGGACTACCTGGACGCGCACACTCCTCTACTTTGCGGACACCCTTGATGAAGAGGACATTGCAAAATGGAATGTGCCTCTACAGCAGGTCATTGACCAACTACGTGTGCTGCAGACGCCTGGAAACTGGGGATTGGAGGAACCCCTACCTACAGGAACATCTGACAGGCACACACTTGAGAGAGAGTGCAATGAGATCGCCGCGACGGACTGGAGACAGGATGAGCACATCCCAAGATCATTTGGACGCCATCGGGTCTTCCTACATCTCTTCGCGGGTAGACGACGCCGTGGAGACTTACAGTTTTATCTTGACCGCATGCAGCCACCGGACAACTACGTGATGCACGTGGTCAGTGTTGACATTGTCATCGATGCTGTTTGGGGCGACGCCACGGCTGAATCGACCAGGCAGTATTGGCTCAACAAAGCTCATGAGGGCTTCATTGCGGGGTTCCTCGCGGGACCGCCATGCGAGACTTGGTCGCGTGCCCGTGGCAAAAAGATTCTGGGGCAGCAGTCAGCCAAACAGACACCCAGAGTCATAAGGACCGAGGAATACCTTTGGGGCCTTCCAAGCTTGGCCTTGAAGGAGCTGCAACAAATTGCCATCGGCAATGAATTGCTGACCTTCACACTGCTCCTCGCCATTGTCATGGTCCAGATCGGAGGCATCGGCATCGTGGAGCACCCGGCGGAGCCTACAGAGGAGCAATCAGCGTCCATTTGGAAGCTACCAGTTGTCCGCGCACTCCTGGCGGCTCCAGGTGTCACGCGACGAAGACTGGCACAGGGGCTTTTTGGCGCGCCGTCCCCAAAACCCACTGACCTGCTGGTGATCAATTTACCAGATTTGCCCTTGGAGCTTCGCAGATGGATGACCCGCTCTGAACTGCCAAAAGGACAAGCCATTGGGCTCAACAAAGACGGCATGTGGCAGACAGGATTTCTCAAAGAGTATCCACCGGCTTTTTGCGGCGCCATGGCCACTGCAATACGCAGGGACTTGGACAGCCTAGCAGTGGTTGAGATGCATCCACCTTCAGAAGAAGATCTCGCAAGATGGCAGGTCATGAACCAGACCGAATACAGTGCCCATCTTGGCGCAGATTATGCAAGGTAGGATTTCCTCCCACTGAGAATTCAAGTTTTCAGAGACACTGGTCGCAGCGTAAAGCAACAATGGACCGTGGGGAAAAAAAAAATACATTTATACATTACATACACAATATACATATGTATCGTGTAGATTCATCCAACTCTGAGGCTCAATAGTTTGCCTGGGGAGCTGGCAATGTAGAGGTGCTTGTCATCAGCAGAAGTCAGAACGTCGTGAACCTCGGAATCCAGCATCGGACGCATCGGACGCATCGGACGCATCGGACGCATCGGACGCATCGGACGCATCGGACCCAAAGTGGGTCATTTTAATGGGGAGCATGATGATATACCACTGGATTTGGGCCGCGATTGGGCCGATGTTCCGACCAACCCAGGTGTGCTTCAGCAAGCGACGTAGAGGATGTTCGTGTGGCTGCCAAACTCCATCAAATAAGAAACCTGACTCCAGGGATGATCCACTCAAAATTCTCTGAATTGGATAGTTTGATGCTAAAATCATCTACCCTCTGGTAATTTAACATAGCTATGGATAGCCCAGTAATAGTTGATTTACCTATTAAAAGTGGTGATTTTCCTTGATTTTCAATAGTCATGTTAGTTTACCAGAGGGTAACATCACGTTCACCCACTGGTCCACCTTTTGGAGGTGCCCCAAAAAGTATCTGACGGGGGCCTCTCGGTACGTCCTCTGAGCATCTGTTGCATTGTTGAAGGCGTAGAGAATCTGCCATGGCTGGTCGGTGCGGAGTTCAACGGTTCAACCCATTAGGGAAAAACAAACACAATCCGGTTTGTCTGGAAATAGAGTAGCCCAAAATCTGTTGGTCAATCAATGTTAATCATAGGTGTTGCTATTCAGACTGCCAACATTTGGAGCATACCCACGCCCAATGATCTCAAAAATGTTGGTCACCTGGGGTTCATGGTCGACACGGTTGTTTTACCACGATTCATGTGTCATTTTATTAAGGAAAAACCAAAAGATATCGTTGAGCAAACATGCCAGCCAGCTGGACTGGCACAACAAACTGTGGACAGCACTTTCAACAGAAGCAATCGGTTGGCTGAGTATGTTGAAACTTCGAAAGGCCTTTTTCATGGCATACTTCTCGAACTTGCTTGGGTCCTCGCCAACAGCTGTATGTGCAGCATCTTAACATCCAATGGCAGTTATTCATTCCAACATTGGCAAAGAGTTTGATATGTAGACATCGGTTCCTACCCTTGCTGACTGGACAACAAATTCAGAAACTTCATTGATGTACCATTCTTCACCTGCATTTAAAAAAGTGATTTTGTTTTCACGAATCAGCCGGTCCCGCAGCATAACCTCGAAAACCACACCATAGCACCTGGCTGGCGCAGCCCGACAGCATCCGCTGCGGGGCAAAATCTGCTGAGGGCCCAACCCTCGGCCAATGCGAGAGACCAGCTCGTAGCGCCGCGCGACATCGCGATCGATTCGCTCGTAAGGCGCCTTTCCTTGGCCGTTTCAGGGTGGCACATCCTCCCATTGGGCACAGGGTGATATTTTTTTAAAACCCCTACCCACACGTTGACTGACAATCTTGATTTGAGTCTCACAATTCCGCGCAACAAGCAAGAAGTTAACAAGCTCTACAAACAAACCAATGATTTTACCAATTACGAGCAAATGATGTCCAACTAAACTATACGATACGATACTATACGATACTGTACGATGCTATACGATGCTATGCTATGCCATACTGCACTATCCTATACTATACATATCATACTATACTATTACATTCTATACTATACGATCCTATCCTATACTATACTCTTACATTTCTATACTATATATACTATTACTGTACTGTACGCTAAACGAAAACAATGCAGAAGTCGCTATATTCTTTGGGGATGCTCGACTTCGCATCGTGCTGAGTGCCAGGCGTCTGGACATACCATCAGCGGCCCCTCGAAGCGCTCATTGTCCGGCTCTATTATTTACAACTCTGCTGGGGGTCAATGATAGGTGAAGTCAATAGTAGGGTAAAGCAAAGGGCAACGTGATTGTCTATATTGTATATATATATATATTATCAATTTATGTCATAATGATACTTTCTTTGTGGCTACTTTCTTTGTGCATATCATCGTATACAATATACAATGGCTTGAATAGTCATGAGATGTCATGAGATGCCATGAGTAAGAACATGTCTATCATTGTATCATGCATGATCATAAATGTCACAACTGTTCTGTACATTTTGCGAGTCTTGTTTTTGTGTTGAGCAAATGGCTCCCGAATCCCTGCAGGGGTTGCCTTGCGGAGATTCACTTCCAAGCAAATTTCAAGAGCTGGACCATGAAAATATCCCAACACACTGGTTAGGTGTATAATTAATACAGTAGGTATCCCTATTGCCTATCATGGAGTATACGTATCCATACTTATCCCCATTGGATAAGGTACCCAGCGCAACCAACAAAACATTTCAACAGTTCGCCGACTCTCCGCTTGAACACGCAATTTTATGTACCATGCAGCGAATGGCTGGGTTGCTAGATGTCATTCTCGAGGTTTAAATATCCATGAATCCCACCCTCAAAGAGAATATGGTCATTAATCAGCGGTCGTTGGTCGCCATGTACTGGGAAACCTGCTCGTTTCCATTGATTCAGACCCCCAATGAGTCGGAAAATCCGTTTCTCATGGCCCAAGGAAGGTTGTCTACGGCAAGCCCGTCGTAACTCCTGGGTGACGCGAACACAACGACTGATGTATCCAAGGCTTAGGTCATCGGAACCACTGTCGCTGTAAACAATGACAGCTTTGTTCGGAAAGCGCACCAACTGTTTCAATGCAGGGTTGGCAGTTTGCTCTAGATCTTCCCCTTCCTGTACCAACCGCGCCAGCATTGGAGACCTCTCTGCAAAGGAAAATGCGCCGGCAAGGTGACTTCGATCGAACTCATCCACTGAGCGGGAGTCCAAGAAAAGTGCCTCATTCCTTAGAAACTGCAAATGTGCGCTTTCGAGTGTCAGTCCAGAATCTCGGGCATCAGCTTCACCCTGTTGCCATGCTTCCTCGCTCTTCCTTTTTGTTTCAGCTTGCACTTTGCCTTCCAGGGTCAAGCTTAGCAAATAGTCAGCAACCAAACGATTGGTAGCCATCGCTTGCATAGTGAAGTCCGTATCATGCAGCAGGTCTGGGTCAGCGTGCATCAAAGCTTTGGCATCATGTTGAACAGCAGCAAGCACTATCTCAGGATCTCCCTTCAGACCGGCTTCTGCACATTTCAACATGGAACCAGCCGACTGAACGGCTGAAAGTACCACTTCGCGATTGGCTCGAACATCAGCTGAAAAATATCTCAAAGCAAAACCGTGGCCTGAGACGAGGTCCAGTGCAAAGTCCTGATCTGCACGCAATGCCTCGGCAGCATATGCTAAGACGGAGACTTCTCTCATCGCAGCTTCCCGGACGAGCTCCTTATTGGCCTTGATGCACTGCTCCAGCCACTCTGCATCATTCACTACACTTCGTAAAAGCTGCAGCTCGCAGCCATCATGAAGGAAGCTTTCATCCTTCAATTCATGGAAGTCACGACATAATCTCTGCTCAAACACAGGTATGCCGCGGAGCTTCTCTAGAGATGCTTTGACCTCCCTCACCATGCAACCTCTCTGCACGTCGAAGCTGTACTCACTTCCATCCAGGCCAGTCACGGTCAAAGATATGAAGGGATTCTCCGGATTCTCCAGCAGCTCGGACTCCAAACTTTCAAAATCGAAATCAAACATCTACCAGGCAGCCATGATCCATGGTGGCCATGATCCTGATAATCATACCTAAGTGCTGGCAGCATGGGAGCCATTTTGTTCAAATGATACATACATAATAATATATATATACAGTACATACATAATAATACATATAATTGTGTATATATATATATTATGAAATAAGTAAAAATGGCTTGAATGGAGTAGAGTCTTGTTCCGCAGCAGGCATGGTTTCATTGAAAAGGCAAAAAAAAGGAAACCCATTGAACTTTTGAGCGACTTGCTGCAGGAGAGCAGGCAACTTATTGTTCAATGCTCCTTAGGCTACTGCCAACAGATGCATAGCAACCGTAGCATTCTGCACAAATAACCCAAGGTACCCAATCTCAAGGGGCGTTTTTTTTGCCGATGAGTTCTGTAGGGCGTTGGCGCACGGATCCTAAAAGATCATTAGCATGCGAATTACTGCTCAAAGCTGGAAGAACAGCGATCAAAGGTCACTCTTGTGACCATCTGAAAACATAAGGAGAAACCGCTGTCAAAACCGCTGTCAAAACCGCTGTCAACTTAGACCGTTACTTTGATCGCTGTTTGTCCTACTAAAGATTCCGTTGCAGGATTGCCCGACTTCATCAACCCCCTAGGTGTTCCATCAGGGTTGAAGGTCAAACTAGCCTGCTCTACAGGATTTCAGGTTCAATGTCTGCTAGACCATATCATCACCACGAGCCTGCGCACGGTCTGCAAATCTTCACAACGTTTGATTTCAAGCTGTGCATCGTTTGTGATTTGAAACTGCAAATGAGTTCCGCAGGCCTGGGGAGAAAACATCATGTCCCAGTCAAAACTTTCTTTGGTTTCTGACCTTGCAGTCAAAGCAGCCAGTCGCCAGAATGTCCATTGCACAGGTCAGATTTTGGCACTCAAGGCTCTACACCCTTTCCAAACGTCTCAATATGCAGGCCCCACATCACCGAACGCTGTCTAAACCAAAAAAAGGCCATCTCTCCCAACCGCATTGTTGATGAACACCTCTAGACTTTGATTGGTCCGATCCTCACTTTTTTCGATTGATCTCCTAAGTTTTGCTCTAAAAATCTCAGTTCCCAATCTTTTCCCAAGATTTTTCCCAATTTTTTTCCGGCCTGGACGTAGAGATGACTGTCTCACTGAGGCCATCCCCCCAGGCCAGTGGGCGGCTCCTGATCATTTTTTAAGGATGATCCTGGCATATCGCCCATGATGGGATGATCTTCATGGATCCTTGGGAAGTGATAAAATCATCATCAGTTTTTTGGGTTAAATTTTAAGATTGAAAAGAATTGGAAAGAATTGGGAAGCATCGGAAAGAATCATCAGATCAAATCATCATCAAAATTGATTGGGATTGGAAAGAATCGTAAGATCATCGTCGTTGTTGTCGTCGTCCTCCTCATCATCATCATCATCGTTTTGGGATTGGAAAGATATTAATGTACATATACCATCATATACCTATGATTCATCAAATCATCATATTTCAGGGATTTGAAAAACATGTATATTATTGCACAGCCATTGAGGCGGACCACCCGTGGATTGAAGGGGATGATGTGGGACCACTTCATCTTTTTTAGGGATGGGAATCGGAACATAACGATTGACACTGGAAAACCACAATCATATTTCTGATTTCTGGGTGTGTGTGTATGTCTATATATATATATTACATATTCGGGGGGTTCTTAGAATGGGGGATCCCCAAAATGGTTGGTTTACGAAGGAAAAACCTATTAAAATTGATGATTTGGGGGTACTCATATTTCAGGAAACGTGCATTATAATGATTCGCTGACCTGAACTTAGTGGGATACTAACCCCAATCTCAAGCAAGTCCAGTGACGTCGCAGTGAGGTCACTTTCAGCAGGCCATGGGTTTTCAATTGTTTTCACAGCAAAATAGGGCAAGGGGATCTAAGCCCTACTATGACCCTGCTGTTCGCAGCTGGTATAGCTGGCTCTTCACAGCAAAAACACAAGAAGTTCTTGATGAAACTCCGAACCTTCGCTGCACACCTTTGCGGTTTACTGATGGATTCAAACCCAACACGTTACCGAAGTGACTTCAAGTGACCAAAGATGTTGCCGCGATGCAGACATGGCGGGACAACCCAGGTCCTTCGAGGCCGACTATTTTGTGATAGCTCTGAGAGGCTGTCTCCCCAATAGTCCTGGAGGTGAGTTTGGAGCCAAACTATTCCCCATCTATTACCATAAATGGATGATAAATACCATCCCCGAATGCCCAAATGGTAGGGTTGGGTTTACCGCACTCAAAAAAAACTGGAATCTCTGGTTTCTCCAGTGAGATTCTCGCTGCGAATGAGAGGTTTGACCAACAACTGCCATGAGCTGAGCTTCGAACAGCATTTCCGAACAGCCTCGCTAGTCCCTCCATGCCGGACCCTCAGGGATGTGGCTCCCATTGTCATCCGACACATGGACCATCATGGACCATACTCCTTCAAAGCAACGCCCAAAATGTGACAGATTGATGACTTCATTGTGTACCAAGCACCCGCGCTTTGGGAGAGGTTACTGGCACTTCCGGCACTTCCGGCACTCCCAGCTTCTGGGTCCTCCTGTCTCAATGGTCCATCATTGCAACTCACGCTGGGCAGAACAAAGCACTAGGCACTCTCTTTCCATCCTATTTTGGAAGCCGAAAAAATGACCTGACCCATGGTAAACCTGAAAATGCGAACAGCACGCGTCTTCCTAATAGAACCACTTCCTTTCCCAGCCTCTGGAGGAGTGGACAGCAGCGGTTGCGAAGATTCTCGTTCGGTCGGATCCTGTGCAACCCCAAGCGTTGGACAACCCGCTTCCTTTAGCTTTTTGATGAGTTTCTGATATTATATCTCAGAAATCAAAGAATCTTTCTGGAGGATTTCGCCGCTCCACAGACTGTCCTCCCTTTGCGCTAAAGTATTCTGGTTGGTCACCGCAGATTCCGTCGCATTGCAGCTCTGTCGTTCCTGCTAGGAAAGTAGGGGTGACCACTGCCCCTTGTTTGCTGTTGTTCTGCTATGTGAAGACCCAAATTCGGCCGTGTGAACACCCAAATTCAAGATTGGCTACAGATAGTTTAGCACATGTTAACGTATTTAGCATAGTTTGGCAATATCTTTGCCCACTTTTAGATGCAAATCATCGCATTTTCTGGCCGACCTGACCCTGGAAAATCCAAACCCCCTTTTTGCACCCGAAAGGTCCTGTTCGCTGCACACCGGGCCCAAGACGTCCATGGAATTGCTGGGATGCAAAGATGCGACATCTTCACGTTCCAGGGGCACCTCCTCCGCGCATTATCCCCGCCCCAACTGCTGGCCATTGGTTCCCATGACCCATCGCCCCAGTTCATGCATTCATATGGCAAGATCATACCAGTGGCATGATTGTTAATCCCAATTGAATTGCTGGCGATTTCCCATTTTGAAGAGTTGAATCTCCATTTTTGCTGGTCATGACCCCCATGATCATGGTTTCCCCCATCTGACTTCTTCGAACCTCAAATACCCCTTAGAAACCTTGGTTTGGTACTCCATCTACTCATTTGGGGTCCTTTTTTGGATGTATTTCAATATTATTTTTTGCCACGCGCAAGAAATTACAGTTATTTCCAGCTAAACCCTTACAAATCCCACAGAGATCCCTCATAAAACCCAAATAAATCCCATGTAAATCCCCTGCAAAACCCATCCAGTTTGGAGATAGGTCTCTCGAGATAGGTCTCCTCACGGCCCTCCGGGCACACGGGCACACGGGCACATGGGCACACGGGCACCCGGGCACACGGACACACTGCCAAATCACGGCACACGGGCACCCGGGCACACGGGCAATCGACCGGCACCCGGGCACCCGGGCAAGATAGATAGATTAGAGCACACGGGCACAACCCCGATCCACGGGCACACGGGCACACGGGCAAGGGCCACCAGAGCACTGCTCTCCCAGCTTGTGATATACCCGCCATTACCCACCTCGATGCGATCTTCCGTCGGTAACACCGGCGCATCTTGATCTTGGGTGAGCACCTGGCCATCGGGCTCGAGCGCTCTTAGTCACCGCCACCCAAACTTAGGGATACAATTGGGATATATAGATAGGATATATATATATGTGTGTGTGTGCGTGCGTATGATATATATATATATATATTTAGTGTACTATATATTCTATGTATAATATATAACAATACAAGTAGAGCCCGCGCAAGGCGGGTGGCGGAAGTTTACAGGTTTAAGAAGTGTAACGCTATAGGATCCAAAAACAAGGTTTGCCTATAGGAGCTGCGGCAGACTTCCATGCTCTTTTCCGGGACTTCTGACCTCTTGTCGCAAGTTGTGAAACCACATCTCAACTCTTCCAACGACTTCTCACCTCTCGTCATCTCTTTTCAACGATTCTCAGTGCACATCTTCTTGACTCTCCTCAACTCCCTTTTCATCTCTCTCTTCTCCTCTCAACGCCTGTGACGTCGTGTTGACTCACCTCACCTCAGTTCCACCTGTCCATTTTATTCTCATCCCAGTCAAGGTGACACAGTTGCAAACTTTCTTGTTCAGGCCAGTTGAATTGCCTTTCCATTCGATCATGGTTTTCAGTTTTCAACATTCGATTGTGTTATCATTCTCGTGTCATGTACGATCATTCAATCCTACTGGGCTGTTACCTGTGGGTCCAACGTTCAAGCACGCTTGGCCCGCAGCATTTTTTCCACGCGCGCGAAGAGCTGTGACGTCACGAGCAGCCATCTGTCAAGAGCGTGCGGGAGCAGCACAGCCGCACGCGTCTTTCAAATCCTGACAGAAGATCACATCTATGCAGGTCTCGAGCAAACATGCCACTTAAACATGCTAACATGAGCGTGAGCAGAACAGCTGCACGCTCCCCGCTGAATACCTAACAGCCGGATCACGTCTATGAATGCACGTTTCGACCAAGCATGCCACTTAAACATGCCAACATGAGCATGAGCAGAACAGCTGCACGCTCTCCGCTGAATACCTGACAGCCAGATCACGTCTAGCGAGGAACCTTGACGCAGCCATTCCACTCCGATCTGCAGAGACTGAGTTGCAAAAACACAATAGAATCCGGACAACAGCTACACAAATTGCAGCTCCAAAACCGGATCTCGATGCCCAAGCGGAAAAACGACGATTTTGAAGCACTTTTTAAAAGGATTTTTAAAAAAGGAAAATCATCAGCACCAAAGTGGGGAAAAAAAACTGCTGCCAAAGCACCATTCGCAACTTTCACGCAACCCATTCGAGCAGCCTTGGCGCAGCCATTCCACTGCGATCTGCGCAGACTGAACTGCACAACACAATAGAATTGCAACATGCTACTGTAGAACACATCGCTTTGATGCACCAGTTCCAATGCACAAAGTGTCGCAACACATGCAAAACGCAATAGCACAGCACCAACAAAAAAAAGAGAAAAAGTCACTTGGAACCCTCAGTTCCACTGCGCGCGCAAATCGAACAAGAATCGACGGCAAAGCGCGGATCGCCGCAACCGTCGCGCAAGCGGGCCTATTTTTCTCTGCAACGGACGCTCCGTTTACCCGAAAAAAACACAATGTTTTGTGCAAATCCTCACCTTCAAATCGCATCCTTGCTGTATCAGTTCCAATGCGATCTGCCAACAGCGACTTGCTAAACAAAATCAGACTCACATGACAGTACTGCAGAACAAGAACCCTTCGAGAAGTGTTGACGCAGCCATTCCACTGCGATCTGCACAGACTGAGTTGCTAAACACAATAGAATTGCAACACACTACTGTATCATTTTCATGCAGCAGTTCCAATGCACAAAGTATCTCAACACATGCAAAACACAATAGCACAGCATCAACAAAGACAAGAAAAAGTCACCTGGAACCTTCAGTTCCACTGCGCGCACAAATCGAACAGGAATCGACGGCAAAGCGAGGATCGCTGCAACCGTCGCGCAAGAGAGCCTACTTTTCTCCGCAACGGATGCTCCGTTTACCCGAAAAAACACAATGTTTTGTGCAAATCCTAACCTTCTCAAATCGCATTCTTGATGTATATCAGTTCCAATGCGATCTGCCAACATTGACTTGCCATGCAGCCAAGCACAATCAGACTTGCAAGACAGTACTGCAGAACAAGTACCCTTCAAAAGAAGCGTTGGCGCAGCCATTCCAGTGCGATCTGCGCAAACTGAACTGCACAACACACTAGAATTGCAACACGCTACTGTAGAACACATCGCTTTGATGCAGCAGTTCCAATGCACAAAGTATCTCAACACATGCAAAACACAATAGCACAGCATCAACAAAGAAGAGAAAAAAGTCACCTGGAACCTTCAGTTCCACTGCGCGCGCAAATCGAACAAGAATCGACGGCAAAGCGAGGATCGCCGCAACCGTTGCGCAAGCGAGCCTATTTTTCTCTGCAACGGATGCTCCGTTTACCCGAAAAAACACAATGTTTTGTGCAAATCCTAACCTTCTCAAATCGCATCCTTGATGTTATCAGTTCCAATGCGATCTGCCAACAGTGACTTGCCAAACGCAATCAGACTCGCAAGACAATACTGAAGAACATATACTCTACTCTTCTCTGCTCTACTCTTCTCTTCTCTAGTCTTCTCTACGGAGCTTTACGCTGCTCTACTTCTACTTCTGCTCTACTTCTACTTCTGCTCTACTTCTACTTCTGCTCTACTCTACTCTTCTCTACTCCTCTCTACTCTACTCTTCTATGCTCTAGCCCGCTCTACTAGTCTTCTCTACTAGTCTTCTCTACTAGTCTTCTCTACTAGTCTTCTCTACTAGTCTTCTCTACTAGTCTTCTCTACTAGTCTTCTCTACTAGTCTTCTCTACTAGTCTTCTCTACTATACTCTCTGCTCTATGGTCGGTGCCAGAATTATAGAACGGAAGTTGAGGAGTACGAAGGTACGGTTATTTACCGTACCCTGTTGTTCCATAATTCTGCTTTCCTCGGAAGGTATGGAAAAAAAACAACTTATCTTAACTTACTCCTAGTTTGTTTCGTCGTTCTATACTTCTGGTTTGTTCTATAATTGTGTGTACCCCCTTTTTTCCCACATTTACCAGTTTCGTTCTATAAATATTTTTTCCGTTCTATAATAAATTTTGTGTAAACCGTTCTATAATTCTGGTTTCTGTGTCACTTTTTTCTGGGGTCCCAGAAAGATACATAAAATGATGCAAATATATGTAAATAACCTCTTCCAGGGTCCCAGAAAGATACATAAAATGATGCAAGTATATGTCAGTAGCCTCCAAGGTGCCAGAAATTATAGAACAGAAAAATTAATTGTAGAACAGAAAAATTAATTATAGAACAGGATCCGAATCCGCGCGGAATCGGGATCCGGAGGCGTACGAAGGTACTGTATTCTACCGTACTTTTGTGCTCCTAATTTCGTTCTATAATTTTGGCACCACCTGTACCTCTACTCTACTCTACCTCTACCTCTAATGATCTCTTAACGCAAGTGTCTCTGGGCTAGTGAGAAAGTGACTTCATGATCTCTTAAGGCACATGCCAACTGGACACCATGACCTTTGGGCTAGTGAGAATGTGACTTCACGATCTCTTAAGGCACGTGCCAGCTGGACACAATGATCTCTGGGCTAGTGAGAGTGTGACTTCATGATCTCTTGAGGCACGTGCCAACTGGACACAATGACCTTTGGGCTAGTGAGAATGTGACTTCATGATCTCTTAAGGCACATGCCAATTGGACACA